AAGCGCGCCACTTGTCACTACACCACTTCCGCCCTTGTACAGGGGGGGGGGGGCAAAAAAAAGAGTCACTCTCATTCACATTCAAAACAGAATTAATTACACTTTGCCAAAACCAAACCGAATGAGCTCAATTGCATATTGAAGAGCACATTCTATTCTATCAAAAAATTACATAGGGGCTTTCTACACCATCAGAAGATTTTCCCACGGAAACATGGTTCACGGTACGAGCTCAACGGGGTCGTCGAGAAACCATAGACGATTACGACGTCTCTGAAACGCTGGTCAAAAGCCATTTTGCATAGTCAGAGCTAGTGTCCCTAAGAAGCCATTCACCAGTTATCCGATTGAAGAAATTATGTAGCAGCTTCAGAATGGAGCGATTATGGTAGGCCTCCTTGAGCTCGACGGTGATGACAGATGACGTCATATTCTGGAGACGGTGAAGGCAGCGAAGGTGGGCCTGATTTCTTATGGGGGGACATCTAAGGAATATTTCGCCGTATAACTCCCAATAACAGCGGCATCCTTTGCGATAAAAAGTTGATGATATGCGCCGTGACTTTTTTTGCCCCCCCCCTATATGTGTTGCTGTACTCGGTGGATATTTTTGTGCAATGAAGAAATAATTCTGGGAAGCTTGTCCGCTTTCGACTGATTTTACTCCATCTAAAATATTTGACTGAACAGGAATGGCTCTTCGTTTCGATAACCGAGTAGCAATTGTAACAGGAGCCGGAGGTGGACTTGGGCGAACCTACGCATTGGAACTGGCCAAGAGAGGATGCAAAGTTGTCGGTGAGTGGACTTGATTTTTTCGAATTTCATTTGACTGATAATAGGCTAAAATTATAGTTTTTCTGTAGAAGTGGGGAATATTTGTGGATTCAAATTAACAATTAGTACCATATTCATGATTAGGACCGTCAGTAACCCTTTAAAATAGACTTTGAAAAAACTGGTGGAAAAGTTGTGACATCACAGTGGGGCCGTTTTGGTGTCACACCTTTTTCACCAGTTTTTTAATCAAAGTCTTTTTGTAAGGGTTACTGACGGTCCTAATCATGAATATGGTACTAATTATTCATGCTAACTCCATTTTGCGCGAATTTTGAAACGTCAACTCGAAATGCAAAAATTTGTCACCACGAGGAATCGAACTAGGGACCCCTTTTCTGGTATTCAGAGGGCCGTTCAGGAAAAATGAACCATGGTTCTGTGGTTCCCGCATGTGCCCCAATGTCATGCAAGAAACCATTTTGAAAAAGCTTGGCACACCCTGAACGACCTCCCTTGTTAGCGCCTGGGCTTTCTCAAATTATCTCGGAAGTTGTGGGCGCGCTTTCCACTTGATCGCTGCACTGTTCTCCTGGAAAGGCTTGATTTTGACGCGAAATCTCGGACCTCACCTTTAACACAATTCATTCGTTGTGATGTTTTTTGTCTGTGAAGGTCACGTCACTGATCGGCTAGAATAGTGGCACGGGTTCTCAACCAAAGTGAATAACGGTCGAGGAAATTCCTCGACCATGGCTCTGTACTGTGCGAGAGTAGTGCCGAGAGTGAACATACGCGCGGAGAGCACAGACGGCTCGCGCATGGCGAGTGTGAATGTCCGCGCGGGAGAGCGTAACTGATCAGGCGAAATCCTCGACAAGCCGTTGAGGAATCCTCGACCGATATTCACCCTGCTCTCAACTAGAAATATAAAGCGGGTTAAGGTCCATTCAATCTAGTATATCGGTATTATGGGAGATGAGACTTGATAATTAGCGGGTGGTGGCTACGAAACCTTGGAAAAGTTATGTATACCGTCTACCATAGCACTTTTTAATAACAGATGTAGGCGTTTGC